TAAAGATCTCGTGTAGTCGAAGGAACACACATATGTATAACTGTGCAACCTTTTCCATTGAAACGATTTGTCTCGTAGAAAGAAAATGTGCAAACTTGTCAAGCGATCAACCACAACCCATATTATATTAAAACCCAGCTTAGACCTTGGAAAACTCAGCAAAATTCATAGTGACAACCTCCCACTTCCACTAAGAATATGCAATGCAACAAATCACTAAGTCTCTGAAGCTCTGCTTTATCATCTGACATGTCTCACATCTTAAAGCATTTGTCACCAAATGTTTTAACACAGGCCACCAAAACATTGACATCAAATCATGATACATTTTACTACTACCTAGGAGAATGATATATCCAGAATAATGAGTCCCAGGTAGTATCATCATCTTGAAATCACCACTAGCTAGAACCCAAAATAGATGCCCACAAGTTAACACTTCATGATCATCCACATGTAGCTCAGGTCTCCTCATCTAACTTCTGAGCTTCCTTAATCCACTCCTGTAAAAAAGCTTAAACAATCATTTGTGCAATTATTGCATTCACATCAACAGAATCAAATTAGTCTCAAAAGATGTAGTCATACAAGTTATAGCACTGCAAGATTTCCTACTTAAAGCATCAGCAATCACATTAGCCTGAATAAGCTAATATTAATGTCGAAGACATAATCTGTGATCAAGTCCAACCACCTCCTCAGTCTCAAGTTCAACTCCTTATGAGTGATGATGTACTTCAAACTCTGATAATATTTGTATAAATCTCACATCTCACTCTATATAAATAATATCTTCAGATATTTAATGAAAATATAATAACTACTAACACAGAATAATGAGTAGAAAAATTTATCTAGTGCGGCTTCAACTATCTTGATGCATAAGCAATAAATCTTTCATTCTGTCGTAACCAACAATTTAATCCTCTCAGAAAAATGCAAGTAAACAATTGAAAACCCTGAACACCAAAAGGAATGGTCAAAACAAGCATCGACACCGAGCAATCCTTCAACTTTTGAAAAGTAACTTCACACTCAAGTGTTCAGTCAAAAGGAACTGTGTTCTGAGTCAATCTAATCAGATGAACTACAAATCTAAGAAAAGCATTTAACAAATTTCCTATAATAACCTATCATACCAAGAAAGCCATGAACATCTGATACTGTAGTTGGTCTTGGCCAATCAACAATTATCTGTATCTTTTGAGGATCAACAGAATACCATTTTCATTAATCATTTGGACTAGAAAAAAATGGTTTTTAATCAAAATTGATGCTTCAAGAACTTGGCATATAATTCATATTGTCAAGATGTCTCTAACAGCAATCTCAAATGAGTTGTATGGTCATTTTTAGATTCGGAATACACCAATATATCATCAATAAAAAAATTAACAAACTGATTGAAATATGTTATGAATGCACGGTTCATCAAATACATTAATATAGTTGATGCATCAGTAATGCCAAAATGTATGACTAAAAACTCATGGTAGCCATAATGAGTCCTGAAAGTTATTTTCATCGTATCTTCCTCCTTCACAAACAATAGAGGATACACAAGCGCCTTCAAGTTGGTCAAACAAATCATCAATTTTGGGCAATAGAAAATTGTTTTTGATGGTCACCTATTCAACTCTTCATAATTGATGCATATATGTCCCATCTCACCCTTCTTCCTCACAAACAAAGGTGCACGTGGCAAGCTACATTGATAAAACTAAATATAATAATTGCGACAATTGCACCTTCAACTCATGTAATTTTTAGATGTCATTCTATAAGGAGCATTTACAATAGGAGATGTACCGAGCACTACTTCAAAATAAAACTCCATTTCTCTCTTCGAAGGCAAACTCACCAACTCTTCAGCAAAAACATCTAGAAACTCACCACAGAAACCTACTCAATAACCACGTTAGCTTTACTCTCATCCTTCACATAGGCAAGAAATACATGATTTCTCTTCCTCCAAAATATATTAATCTGCTGAGTTGATATCAAAGATGATAACACACCTCTGATACCCTAAAAATAAAATACTTCACCACAAACATAAAGACGTCCTCTTCCAACTATAGTTAATTCTAGTTTTATATCTACTCAACCAATCCAAACTCGAGATATTATTAAATTCAGTCAAAGAAAATATAATTAACTCAAACTCCAACATCCTATGCAAAATCTCATTTTCATAGATACAACCTCAACTAGCCATCAAATAATCTACAGTGGGTAAAAGATTATAAAAATAAGAGGCTAAAGCAACGAGGAGTTTACTCAAAGCAAAAAATTTCTCAAATATAAATGAACGAATAGTTTCGTAATCAAATAAAATTCTACATAACTGTGCATAAATTAAAGTTATACCTATCAAAATATCGAATGCATCATTTGCCTCCTACTGAGTCAAAAAATAAACTCTAGACTGAGTTGGAGCTGTAGCAACAAGAGCAACAGACTGTCTCTGACTCTCTTGCCTTCCTTATATTGAATCTCCCACCGCCTTTGCTATATGATCCTTCACTTAAAGTTCTTGATGGGATTGTCCTCTATTATCTGACACCCCTATAGTTTACTCAGCATCTGATCTATTTTTAACTACTTTTTCAGGATATTGTACTATCTCTTGGCCAGACTGATCACATTTAAAATATTACCCAAAAAATAAATAATATTGATTGTGATGTCTCATTTCACATGAAGTACACATTGAAGCGTTGTATTGAGATAGTTGAACTCTTGATTCTAGAAGCTGTAGAACCTTTCCTAGAAGTCATACAGTCCAAATTGGCTCTTCTTTCCACTAACACTTCTAGAAGATACCACCAAATCTTTTTCAACTCACATCCATGTAATGCTAAGTAGACATCAAATTACTTTCAATCAATCTTGCTCTTTCCACTAGCTCAAAGAAATCTCTGATCCCAAATGGAACAAGTGAGTGCCTCAAGTTATCTCTGAGTCCTCTCAAAAATTTATAGCAATTCTCCCTTGAGTACTGACTAACTATGGAGAATATATCACAAAAGCAGTAAACTCAGTCTCATATTAAATTACTGTCTTGCTTTATTGAACCATCTCCGAAAGAACACCTACCTCAGTTGTCTGACTGATCATGGTACAAGCCAATCTCTAAAAATATCAGTAAACTGCTCTCAAATAATCTCAACATTCAATTTTCCGTGAAACTTCTCCCTCAGTTGACCTAGCCACCAACGTTTATTTTCACCATCAAGTAGAAACATTAGGATTGAAAAGTGAGTGGGCATCATTGCGAAAGAGAAAGAAGAAAATTCAAATACACAAGCATCTATTTTTTTACAGAATATATAATATTACAATCTAATATGCTCGCCAACATAAATGAATGATTGCACGTCATTTGCATAAATATAACAATAAATGTATTTAGGAATGTCCATATGCATCAATTATTCATTTCATACCTTCACATAAGTGTTTCGTATAAAGATGTGGCTATGTCCTAACGGAATAATGTGTGATAGCTCTAACTTTTGAATCTATTTTTCTCTATTTCTAAAGATAATCATTATAGCTTAATATATTTTTTTTCAATTCTAAATCTAACCTCCTTAGCTTAATATGTACCAAAATTGAGCAGACATAGTGGAGCCACTTCTCAACTTTTAATATTCAACATCAACACTTCATTATATATATATAAACCAGGTGTATGTTACACCGTGCACTTGTTTTCACAAAAAATAATAATAATTTAGACCCTTCTATATTGAAAAGTTTCGTGAGGGTCGCCAACATTATACAACTATAATGCTTTACACTTTTAGTGGCTAAAAATTAAATAAGAAGACAATTTTGCTACAAAGATTTAAAAAAGTGACACTTTGATCCCCAATCCAAGAACCTAAGCACCTTGATGATAGAAGTTGCATTTCAAAGTAAGCTTCCAGCATTTCACTTTAGCTTCAATATTTATGGAACACATGAAGCTACTATATAATTTGCATAACTTTGTGTCGCTCAACTTATTCAGTGTATTAATACTAAATCAATTACAATTTTCCGCTTTGTAGTTCCTATAATTTCCCATTATTCCATTTTCAACCCTATAATCTCCATTGTTTCAATCAAGCCCTCAGATTTGAAATCTTTGTTAAACACATTATTCCATTTTCATCCCCTTTTTTCAATCAAGCCCTCAGATTTGAAATCTTTGTTAGCCACATTCAAAACTAAAACGATATAATGAAGTAAAATTCAATCCAAAAAAATGAAAGAGTGCTGATCTGTGGTGCAACCCTCCACTTAAACCGACCAAAAATCCCACATGAAAAATCAGCATACTATCAATTCAGTTGGAAGGAATTTCATTTCTTTCATTATGTCAATTGAATTTTGGATGTGATTGCAAAGGTATAAAATTTTAAGGACTTAATTGAGACAATAAAATTGCAGGGACCAAAATGAAACTAGAGTCACACTGCTTTGAGACCATTTTTAGAAGTATAAATTCATGGAATCAAATTCACTTGTGCGAAAATATCACAAACTTGCTCCAGTTCCTTGAAAGTTTATCATTTATTAATTAATTTTGACAGTTTGAGTTATTCTCTGCCACTTTTCTAAGAACATAAGCACATGAAATAAATGATAGCACTCAATACATAAGATTGAAGAGGACAGTACAAAAAATCTTCTAGTAACTCCCAAGACAAGTACAAACTAAAAAACCGCATCTCCAAGATATTCCTTAGATTTTTAGTTATGAAAAATAAAGGAAAGGTACTAATTACTGTAAATTTTCAAACATGCTTCAATAAATAAATAAGCACATGCAATTTAATCCTATGTAAAGCATAGTGCAATCATATCATGTATAAATCAAAAAAATATATATATGATAATATTATAGTAATCAATTCAACAATGCTGGAGAAGAGCATCGCCAACATACTATTATAACTACACAAGAATTAAAAACTATCATAAAATAAGAAGATATTTAAACGTGCAACCTTGTGTTTTCCATTCCATTAGAAGTATAAGAAGCTTCAGAACAGAAAGTTGATCATGTTCAAACTCCACCTGGGTGAGGATGACAGAAGCAGAGACAACTATATTCACAAAGTCAAAGACATAGTGCAGTCCAAGCTCCTTTTGGGCCAACAGCAAATGCCTTGCGATCTCAATAACACGTTCAACTTGTCCCAGAGGTTTTCTATGGAAATAAGCACAAATCGATAGCAGCATACTCACAACCTCCAAACTGCACCTTTGGGCAACATTTGTCACTTCCTAGAAGAAAAGATAAACGTAATATAAATAAATGCATGAAAATTATAATAGGTTGTGGCCAATTCAAGAACACAAACAAATAGCTTACTTACGAGTAATACAATTAAACAGAATCCAAGGCATGAGCCCCTCCCTAATGTGATTACATATACAATAATTTTACTCCCATTTTGAATAGAGTCTATGGCAAGCAAAGATGTTATTGTCAAGATTTGAAACTGTGATCTCCAAGTCAGAATTTGTTGACCCCAATATACCCAAGTGACTCATGAGTGACTTGTTATTTATTTGATGATAACATTTCTGAGATGTCATCTAATAATTTTATAAGTATTTAAAAGAAAAGTACGCTTAAGTATAAATTGTTGATATTAAGGATGTCATCAATTTTTTTTGCAGGCTAAAAAAAAATTGCTTGCAAATACAACCAGATGAACAATAATTACAGATAAGAATTGATTATAGCAAATAAAATGATCAAATAAAATTCAGAAAAATTGTAATAGATCGACTGCTTTACTGATGACCTGAATAAGAAAAAATCCTAACAAAATTATTAAATTTCTAGCTCTTGAGATTAAAGTTGGAGTGGGCCAATTGGTAACGAGGGAATGTTGATAAGTGTTATATTAGAAAATGACCAACATTTATCAGTGGTGTTGTAGCCTTTGCTACGAGAAGACCCAGTGAAACAAAATGAATTGAGTTATAGTTAAATGCATACGGGTGTCGGTAGATACTATTTGAATTTATTGACATGATTACTACTTGTTATTCTGCATTTACTCGTCATTTACTACACTTCCAAAAATTTTAGTATGTAATTACATCACAATTGCCACCCTTATCCTAGCATACACATTACTTCTTTTTCTTTTATTGAAACTTTAACACTGATTATTTCACTAAATTTGTCGCTTAACTTAGATTATATTATTATTTTTTAAGGATGGTTAAAGATTAATTGTACAATTAGCCAGGTGATCTGGTACAGTTTTTAAACTGTAAAGATTTTGATTATTTTAAAAACTTTTGTAGTGCTATAGATTTGAATGAATATTAAATGCATTAGATGTTATTTGCTTGCTACAATTTAATGAGAACAATCCTCCACCCGTTTGATCTTGATTCATGCATGTTAGGATAAATGTTGGGGAAAATTGAGTCTGAGTGAGTCATCCACCTCTGTTGTACCGCTGCTCATAAGTGGGTGGGTCAAACAAGGTGTGACACAGTACAAATAAGATGTTAAAGTTGTTAAAAACCAAAACTTTAGAAAATTTATTTAATAAGATAGAAAAATTAGCTAACTTAATTTAGGCCTAGAACGATAGCAAACCAAACATAAAAATTGCTTTGCAAATGTTAAAACATCACATTAATGTCCCAATACCACAAGAACTTTGGCAGTATAGAATTATATTGCAGTTCTCTTCAATAAATGCATTAAGACAACTATTATACAAAACTATGAAGCATGAATCTTGAAGAGAATATTAAACTAGAAACAATAAAGGTAGCACGCTTACAACCTCAGGAAACTTCTAAATGGCAACAAAATTAAAGGACTAGTAACATTGATGCTAAAAGCATGAACACCAAAGAAAAAAAAAATTGGTGAGAATTTCTACCTTCTCAATGTCAACAGTTCGTTGCAAAACCACAACATAAGCATCCACAAGATGTACAGCAGAAGTTACAATGTATAGAAATTCCTGAATATGAGGTAAACATGGTAAAGATAAGATGTCCAAATTTTAAGAAACTCATTTAACAGAATACTAGAATTATAGCATGTCGTTAAACTACAATTTCTTCCTGAGAGAGGACAAGGATGTATTAAATAATTACTTCAGTTCCATGATCATGTCCAACGTAATGATAACATTTTAGCTATCAAAGGAAACAACTTAAATGCCAGGTCATAAAAACAAATCATAATGTTTCCTCGGGCTTTCTCTTTCCTTTTCTTTTCTTCTTTTACAATACAAAACAAATGATGTCCCAAAACCTTATCAGAGTCTTGGAGTCGCATCAAGAATTTCTTATTCTATCTAACTAGCCTATTTCAAGCTTTACATACAAGAAAGATGAGGGTCACTACCTTCTCATTTGTCAAAGGCAAGTACTTTAAGCACTCTGCAAGAAGCTTCAAAATGCTAATTGTTTCCAATGGAAATGAACATGATAGTGATGCAATAGCCGATATCAAGTTCCTTGAAAAAAAGCAAACGCAGGCAGAAGTCTTCCAAATCACAGAAAACATCATAAACGGCCTCAAGAACCTCACGACCTCATTAATTCCAAGAGACTTATTAAGAGCAATGAACAATAGAACTTGTTCAATAAGCTCTTCCTGTGATTCTTTGCAGCAAGAAATAACCTGGCATCAAAAGGGAAAAAAACTAAAAAAACATATAATATCCATCAAATAAATAAAGTGAATGGATTAAAGCATCTGCTTAGACATTGTCTACCCTACAAAGAAAAATGTTTAATTGTCAACAATAAGAATCTCTACAACCAATGTAAAATAGAAAATAAAACCTAAGAACTAGAAGAATGATCGAACAAAAACATGCTTCTATCTAGAACAGGCTCAATCAATTATATTGTACATAATAAAACAAGTTGTCTGTTGATCCATAAAAAAGAAGTCGACTTGAGTGGACCCATTTGAATCAACATATTCTGACATTAAATATGCCCAAGTTCAATGATGGACCCATTATATTTGTGCTGCGTGTTTCAAATAACTGACATATAAGAACTTTAGTCATAAACAAGCAAAAACCATGGCAGCAACATCCAGTCAAACCAATGTCAACGGAGTGACAACTTAGAACAAGGAGACTTCAAACTGCCCCGTCCCCCCAAACACAGGTTATTTTTTCTATTGACTCAAATTTGTATCATTCAATGATGCATGTTAGGATATAAACAAATATTCAACAACCTGTTGAGGACCCCAATGACCAAACAAAGCAGAGAAACTCACATCAAGGCTACATTCAACAATGGCCAGAAGCATCCTAAGCTACATCCAACAAAGACCAAAAGTTCTCCATCGCTTCATTCTGCAACAGCCATATGATGTAGAACCAACAATTTAGGGAAATTGCTGGTTCCATGGCTCGTAGAAACCCTAGTAAAGCCAATAAATTTAAAATGAGAATCAATGTACACATTTTGTTGGATTCAAACCCCTTACAAGAAACAAAAGCCCGAGATCTATATTTTCTCCCCTATCAACCCTCCTTTTCCTTTTCCAATCACTCGGTTAATTCCAATCAACTATAGCGAATAAAATATACCATAATGTTGATTGCAAGTGATGGTAGCACAAAAGAACATGGGCTAACTCAGCAAGAACAAAAATTTTATTGCCTCATTAAATGCTCGTGGAAATTAGGGTTAGTTAGTTAAAGGTATGATTCAGTAACCCACTGAATGCAAATTTAGATAAACATGAGGAGATTAAAGCCTGAAAATTTGTTTGGCATGACACATCAAATCTTGCTAAATATTGATAAATCTTTTGGCTATTTGTTTTAGAATTTAATAATTTTAAGAGGACAAATCGTTAAAAATATTAAATCCCATGAATTACAGAATTTAAATAATAATAGGGCTAAAATAATATTTATCAAAACAGTGTGATTTAAAGTCCCAAAAATTTTGCTCTCCATAATTTAAAGCTAAAACTTGCCTGAAGCATAAGGGGCTATTTAGCAACTTCTGGGATTTAACTCAAATAAATTTATTATATCCTGTAAATTTGGATTTAGTAAATACTAGGGGGGGTTAAATCTCATAAACTATTTGGCAAGTTATCTAATAAATCTAGTTAAATCATATAAAACTATTTGGTAACTTCTTTTGGGATATAAGTCTTTTACTTCAAATTTTATTGCTTATTATTTCTAATTAAATAAATCATTAATTAATAGTTTTTAAGCTAATTAACTACTAAAAAGTATTTCTTATATAATTACTCGCTACTTAGCTATAACTATTATTAATTAGCGTAATACAATTAAAATTAGTGTAATGTAATGTTATGTAATGTTTTGAATTAAGTATTAATAAAATTTGTAGATAATTTAAGTTAAAAAAAGAGAATTTTATAACAAATTTTATCACTTTCAACCCCTTGTGCTGACATCCTTCTAACTTATGGAAAGGGGATGAAATGACATATTTGCATTTTACTTGAAATGAAAATTTTTCGCCCGCACTACACTACATTATTTTTCCATTCTAATTTTTCATAAAAAATTCTCAATTGTGCATTTGAACGCCCTGATTTTCCACGAACAAAAGGCCTTGCTTATCTATTTATGCATTGGATGTCATCTTTTGAATTTTTTACCCAAAAAAAGTCTTATGTGTGTATTTGTGTATTTGTAAATTTCAGAGTGAAGATTATCAGACCCCCTCTCGGTCCCTAAGAATGTTTTCGACATGCAACAAATGAGCAAGATAAGCTCATTCATAACTTGTTCCTACAAGGAATATACAACTCTGCATCATTCTCACTTGTATACAAAATTAAAAGTAAAATCTAACAAGAATTTTGGCTCCATTAAGATTGCATCAACTGCATAATAATCTTATCACTAGTTTTTATAATGGCATCAAAGATTACCAAAATCAAATTTGGTTTGCACGGAAAAACTTCAAAAAATAAGCTAATAACAAGTATTGAAATGGTTAATACATCATCCTCTAGCTAATATAGAAGCTAAATGGGAATATAAAGCTTGATAAACCATGATAAACTTCAATCGCAGTTCAAAAAAATTAAACAAAGAGAAAACCAGAAAAGGGGAAGGAGAACCCAACATTTTAATGTGAATACTTATAAAGACAGCAATAGCCATAAACAAACTGAATGAGCAACAAGCCATGAAGAGCACTATGTACAGTTCAAACTCAGAAGCAAATGAACAGAATAATTCCACCATCTACCATTTCAGCACCGCATGAAATTTGCTCTCCACATTCCTCTCCTGGAAATAGCCAGGGATGGAAAAAATTGCCTGTAAAGTTACACTAATTAACTACTCGCTGCTAAACATCCCCATATTTTTGCTCACCCACTGTGAGGTCCCTCACTCAGCCTCTAATGAATCTGAGGGACTGGCTCGTATCTTTCTAAGGGGCAGCAGCAACTCCCAAAAAAATTTGCAATATGTTGCTTGGAATAAACTTTGTCCTCCCACCCACCATGGTGGATTGGGTTTGCATGTGGTCAAACAGTGAGGAGGCCCTTTGAAGGCTCGAATTGCGTGGGCCTTTCTTAAAGATGCCTCCTAATTCCCTTATAACTGAATCAAGAAAAATTATGGTATGAACTTGTGAAAGAAGAATAAAAATAGAACTGGTTCTAGCTCATGGAAGATTATCCGTGAGGGAGCTCAAAGTCTACCTCATTTACTAAGATGGAACATTGGTGATGGAAAAACTGTTGACATCCTTAATCATATCAGGATTCTGGATTGGCGTCGTTCCAAATGGCCTACTTTTCTCAACATTGATCTTCTTGAAGAACTAAAAATGAAGGATCTGCTAATGGAAAGAAATTGGAATATGCAAATTCTCAGGAATTGCTTCGGGGAGGACCTCATTGAACTAATTGTACAATCTCAGCACCCACAGCCTTCCACACAGGACCATGCTGAGCTGCTCGTGGCCCATTCAGGTAGAAGTATCACATTTATGGCATATGATTTGCTTTTTGTGATCAAGTTGCTGAAGATAACTGTTTGCAGCACCTAAAGCTTCTGCCCAACAAGAGGATACATTGGTGGAGACTGACGCATGATGCTATTCCTACGAATATGTGGCTGCTTAGAAGGGGGTTTACGAAGGATGGAGATTGCCCTTGGGGAAGCTGGGAGAATGAAAATTATTCACATACAACTGCCACATGTAAAGTTCTAAGGGAGATATCTCGTTGTTTGAATTCATGGGGGCTGCATATGCCGATTCTATCCTCTTTTGGGGAGGTTCTTAACTCTCTAAAGCATACTTCGCATGCTTTAACGGCTACAGCTAGAACTTGTTGATATATGGTATACCAAAGCTGGAGAACCAGGTATGCTAAAGTTCAAAACCGACCCCATGGAACACCGACCGTTATGGCAGCAAATATCCTTCCCACACTTACCAATATGAAGTCCTTGTTTCGGAGCAATGGTGTACTCCTCGATCTGTTGGGACGCACACTTCTCTTGTTTGGTACCCCCACCCCATCCCTCTCCAAGTTAGATTAAGGCTAACATGGACAGTGTTCCGCTTCCTAATAATCATGCCGGATTGGGCATGGTTATTCGCAATGGCAGGTACACTCTTTACTCCATTGGGATCCTTCTCGAGTTGAGCTTGAGGCGGTCTTGGCCCTTGAGGCTCTCATTCAAATATAGATGTATGAAACTAATGGTATTATTATTGAAGGTGACAACGCCACAATCATCAACATGTTTCAGGGAAAGTATAAAGGAGGAAGCTTGGAGGCAACAACCAAGTAACAACTTTGACACTACTTTTCTTTCAAACATTAAACAAGTTTTTTTCTTGTTTTGCTAATACAGAATATAACAAATCAGCCCATTTTTGTGCTTGGTTTGCCTTGCATAGTTCTTTTGTTTGGGATGCTCACACTTGTGACCTCATTTTTTTGAGTGTGGTAGAAAAAGATGCTCATCACACTGTCCCTTTTGTGTAGCTTCTATAGCTCTCTTTTGTACCTTTTGTTTTATTTTAATGCAAAAATGCACACCTTGCAAGGAAAGAACCATAGATGATAGGAACACATCTAAAATTGGAGCCTAACAAGAAGGGCAAATAAAACTGAAGAATTCAAGAAAAAATAGTAATTAATTAACCAATAATCAGAGAATCGAGAAAACAGAAAAGCACGGGAAGCACAAGCTTCAGAAGCATCTCAAACATCTCGTCTTCCAAACCGTACACATCATTGAACTCCGCTTCGATCTCCAAAAGGCCAAGGCCCCGGATCAACTACATAATTTTTTTGGAAAATTTGCATACATATCATACAATTCTTATGTATTAATATATGTAACAACTAAGTATCATCTTTACATTAAGAATATTACGTGATAAACTTATCAATGAAAACATATATTTCACTTTTGAAAAATATGTGATAGTGATATTTCTATTTGATATTAAAGATTTGAGTATTATGCATGTAAATATAAAACTTTCGATGTTAGATATGTAAATACATAAGAAGTACGTGTTATTTATGTAAATGCCCCTATTTTTTTTTTAGCATGGATTCAATCTTTCCCCAATAAACCGCAGCACTAACATCTATGTTCTGAAGGATAAGTTTGAGACACCCACCCCTTC